ATGTGTATGGGCAACCTTCAACCATGTCTGCTCCATCTATCCAAGGCGGATTTACAAGTCTTTTACTTGGGGTTGAGCAGGATGCCACATTGTCCTCGGCTGTTAGAAAGTTACCTTTTGATGATTAGTATTACGGGCAGCCTATAAGGAGTACAATTTTTTTGATGTCATTTGGTGTATCTATGAATTATAATTGATGCACTGTAGTAGACTGAATTTTGTCTTCATTTAGAATGTTTGGGTATAATTTTGTACTACGCTGAGTATGGTTTTTCATCATTTCTGGATTTCTGTGAGATTGCATTGATTATGCGACAGAATGTGTTAAGTGTTAAATCTTCAAGGCCGAGCACCTGCGATAGTTTCAGATTTCCAGACCTCTGATTTAAATCTTCGAGGTCGAGCACCTCATTCATATATATCTTAGATGAAAAAAGATACAATGTACAATTGTACATTATAGTTGGAAATTGTCAGAGAGAGCAATCAGCTATATACTAGTACACGATTTGTCACGAAGTCTACTCATCAGGAATTATTGATGTTGTTTCCATGGCGTCAGTTGTCTTGTTCCAGCGGTGTACTTCGGGGTCTTCGTCCAGTAGAATGATGGCGAAGCATGACTGCTGCATGAGTAGGTGACCTCCTGTTTGCTCTTTGTTCCCTTTTCTACCATCTTAGCTAGTTGGACCAGGAGGAATCCTTGCCAATTTGAAAACTTCTCTTTCACGACTGCAAAGACATGCACCAATCGCATTGAATTATTAGCATGTGAGTTTGGTCAGATAGTTGTCAGACGTATAGCAAAATAATGTGCAGTTCATCCTCCTGTAAGATAAACACCCTTCGGTCTGAAACTACACTTTCTTACTCTGAAACTAGTGATGCAATTGATTTTGTAGCTCGACTGAGCGAATCAAACAATCCGATCAAGTACGAGCTTGCTAGGTTGCACTTCGTTCGTCCCAGTTTAATCAAAATATGTGATTAACATGTGGTCGTGTACGATTAGCAAATCAAACCTCTTACCTGAAGGAGCTAATTGCATGCTAACAGCCAAAAGGAAACACAAACTTTTAGACTTGCAAGGGAGGGGGTCACCAGTTCTGAACTGGGCGAGATGGAGGTGCGCGTGGGGGAGTGAGAGGCCGGCGCCGGAGACGGAATCACCTTGGTTTGGGCACACCGTGCCTTCCATCAGCGGCGGCGGCGACGGCGGCGGACGAAAGACGCGGAGGCTTGGAACCGGGCGACTGGGAGACAAAAGGGCTGACTATGTGGGCCTCCGCCTCAGCCGGCCTTGCCTCGTGAGGGAGCCGGGATCGCACGTATTTGGAGCCGAGCGAGCGCTCCCGAGCCGACGGAAGGAGCGAACGGATCGGAATGAACTGCGGCGGTCGAATATAAGGAGAGGACACGTGGACGAATCTAGACAGGGGTACATACAGGATGAGCTTTGCAGCCGGTGTCCACGAAATTTTCTTCTGATCCTCACAGCAGAAACGGCGATTCAGGAGAACACGCAGAGATATTGGGCGCCGATTTACGGCGCGGGCGGTTTAGCAGTGGGATAGGCACGGCGGGTCACTTCTTCCCTTGTCTTCACGTGCTAACCCTGCGTAGCACCTTTTTCCTTTCCTTTGTTTAACTCTTAAGTTAACTTCCTGGTAGATTCCTCGTATGCCTATAGCAACCAGATTTGACAAAAAGCAAAATCGATCCGGCTTCAGGTAATAGCCTCGGTAACTCCTGTACGCGGTGGCGGCGACTCAGCGAATTAGACAGAAACAACAGTAATTTGATGATTTTGATACATACTGATGAAATCCCCTTTGCACTTCGCTTCTCGTAACGATGCAACGGAAAGTGATTCAGCCACAACAGATCACCCGACTGCGTTTGACGGTGCACGTAACGATGCAACGGAAAGTGATTCGGCCACAACAGATCACCCGGCTGCGTTTGACGGTGCACATACATGTAATCCGGCTCTTTTCATCTGAAAATTACGAACTTCTCGAAATCCTAGGAAAGATCCCTCCAAGAACTTAACACCACTGTACGCTGGCCCTACAGTGGGCGCCAACTGTCGTGGAATTGTCACGGCAGATGTCCTAGAGTGAGGACTTAGTCGTGAGGTCAACGCATATATGTGATAGCTTGAGAGGGGTTGAGCGGAATCGAAAGACGCAACACAAGACATGAATTTGGATAGCTTCGGGCCCCGAGAAACATCATCCGGTAATAACCCTACATGCTGTTCGAGGCTAGGTCTCATTATCATCACGAAGGAGTCACCGTAAACCGTCTCTCCTCTTTGTGTCTAGCCCTAAGATTGTTTCTTCTTGCTTGTCCCTCTTCGGGGAGCCCTACCCCTCCTTATATATGTTGAAGAGGCGGATTACATGTAGAGTCCAACTCGGACTTAAGACTTAACTATTCTAGCTTATCTTCATGGGCTTCTTAACATCTTGGGCTTCATAACGTCTTGGGCTTCATAACCCCTGGCAACCCAGTTATCACTGTTTGCCGGTTTAACATTGTCTGCCGGTTTAATATTGTCTGCCGGTTTAACATTGTCTGCCGGTTTAACATTGTCCGCCGGTTTAACATGGTCTAACTTAACTCCTGCCGGTTTACCGTCTGTCATAGCCATCTGTCTTAACTGTCTGTTTTAACTGGCCACCGGTTTAACATGGTCTGACTTAACTCCTGCCGGTTTATCAAGTCCCAGCCGGTTTAGAACTCTGGCCGGGTCATACCGCAAGGTATATCCCCGACAGGCATAATCCTTTGCCTTTCGTTGTTTGGCACCAACCATAATATATGAAATATTCCCTCCGTTCCCAAATATAAGTTGTTTTGGATATTTTAAGATGAACTACATATTTACCGAAATTAGTGAACAAACACACTAAAACGTACCTATGTACATTCGATTCATAAAAAAGTTGAAACATATTATATTTGTGAACTCAGAGAGTAGCTTTAGCTTGCATCAACCACTACCTGAGTATCAGAATTGCAGTCCTTTGGTTGAGTATCAGATAAGATCAAAATAAGTGAATCACACGAGTTTGCTTAGCCAGAAACTACCAACAAAAACATCAACAGCGATAATAAATATCAGGCTATTACAATCGTTTTTCTTACTAATAAACCAGCTTGGCTGTAGTGTATTCTTACTTGGAAACACTGAATAGATGGCTAGTCATCAAAAGCTGCATACAGTTCAGGTAAAAACAAATGCCTACAGCTCAAAACTTAAGATTTTAAAGCAAAATCATCATACAACTAACAACTAGGGATTCCTCTCCTTGGTAAACAAACTGTGGGTGAAGTGTGGTAAAAATTTCTGAATAAACTTCACCACCAACAGATATACTCCCTCCGGTCCTTTTTACTCTGTATATAAGAATTGTCCGAAGTCAAATTTCATAAATTTTGACCATATTTATATGAAAAAATATCAACATCTACCATGCTAAAGTTATACAATATGAAAATTTAAGTCAAGACACATCTACTGATATTGATTTCATATTGTGAATGTTGGTTATTTTTTCTATAAAATTGGTCAAACTTTACTAGGCTTGGCTTTAGACAAATTTTATATGCGAAACTCGTAAATGCACAACGCAGGTGTAATCTTAATCCGGCTTGAAGATATACCTACTCTTAATCTGCGCATGTTGGTAATGAAGCTTAATAACTGTTGAATGTGTGCACACAAGGCTGCTTTTGGTTCAGTTTTACGAGGCCTGATTTGGGTTCAGTTTTTAGTGCATACATGCTGCTTTTCTGCTCAGTGAAACATGAATCAATCTTCTCCGGAATAAATGAAGAAAGCAGAGATGAAAGACCTCTGGCCAGGCGGCTGCGTGTTTGACAGCGGCGTGTCCCCTGATGGCGGCGTTGACGACCTGGGCCCGATGGAGAGGGACGGGCAGGAAGTCCAGGCAGTGTCCATGATGGTCCAACGACCCGACGCCAACGGACGACCATGCGTCGTCCCTGACAGGTCCGACGGCGATGAGCGGTCCAGGTGGTGCCTCCGACGCGCCCCCCGCCAGTCGGCCAGGCGGCGTCCCCGACAACCGGCGTCCTTGAAGTTGCGATGGCGTCGCTACGGCCGAGGCCACACAAAGGCGATGGGTAGAGGCGGCACGGAGATGTGAGGGGCAGTGTCCTTGAAGGTGTTGCGGGTCGAGGCGATGGGGCGGCGTGTGTCGCTGAAGCGAGACGACGGGGCGGCGTTGTGGGCTGTTCGCTGTGGCAGTTTCCTTTCATGTGAAAGGGTACGTAAGGAAGGGGATCACACGAAGGTTCGCTGTGCCAGTTTCCTTTCGTGTGAAAGGGTACGTAAGGAGGGGGATCGCACGGCGCTTTGTTGTGACAGTTTCCTTTCGTGTGAAAGGGTACGTAAGGAAGGTGATCAGGGAGAGAAAGGGTTGATTAGCAATAAACACGTTTAGCACTAAACATGTTTAGTTGCTCACCATTAAGACAATAAGGACCGTCGGATTAATACTAATGGATGGTCGAGGTGTGTTGGATCTTCCTCACTGAGTCTTTTTAGATTGGTATAGATAAAAAGGACCAGAGGGAGTATAAACCATAATCAGGTATTTAGTGAGCTCAACACAAAGTTAGGCTTAAGAACGGTATCAGAAAAATAAATCCAACTTACAGCTTACATATTTTGACCACAGTATTATTTTCATACAAATATAAATCGATATTCTCGACTAGGTGGATAAGATTCAAGTAGTATACATGATATAAACAAGTAGACACTTTCTTACACCCCCAATTAGTATGTGCTTACAGTATTACAATGAAATGGAAACCGAAATGCAGAACACATAAGCAATCACAAAAGGATGTGTTCGTCAGGTATCCTATGCTAGACATGTGGCTTCCTGCATCTATCCTCAAGCAGTGGAATCTACAATTTCTGCCGGCTGGGAGAAAGGAACAAATTCAACAACCAAGGTCTTTCAGTATCTGATCCCCTTTGCGACCTCAAAGAAATGGGCAACATTTTCCTCGGGAGTCCCCACCTTAATGCCATGACCAAGGTTCAACACATGTCCTTCACTACCAGCCTTCTGCACGGTGTCGTAAATCCGCTTGGTTATGAACTCTTTGGATCCAAAAAGAACACCAGGGTCCACATTTCCTTGAACTGCTATGTTGGATCCCAATCGTTTCCTACCCTCGGCCATATCAACCGTCCAGTCCAAACTAACAACATCAACACCTGTCAACGGAAGCCTTTCCAGCAATCCACCAGATCCGCTTGCATATAATATCAGAGGTAAGTCAGGATGTGTTTCCTTAACAGAATCCACGATTTGCTTAAGATATGGCAAGCTGAATTCCTCAAAATCAACTGGACTGAGTTCTGTAGCCCACGAGTCAAAAATTTGGACAGCCTGGGCGCCATTGTCAGCTTGGTATTTAATGTAGCTAGCCATGGAAGTTGTAAACTTCTGTAGCAAATTATGTAGAATCTACAAGAAACAGAGAGCAGCGATCAAGGTCAATATTATTTTCACAAGAGCGCACGACATCAGAGAAGGTTAGAAGGAAAGGGAACATAATCCAACTGCATATCTCTGATTTCATTCACTGAACAATAAATAAGATTAATGAATAATGACAACAGATTTTCCATATGACCCATGCTAATAAAATATAATGCTGTGATTTGCAGTGCTTTGCCATATAATTATATAAGTCAACTAAAATATTACGAGATTGCTAACAGCATAGCACTATCAGTAAGTCGACTAAAAAAGGCACTATCAGCAAGTTTCAACCTATTAGGCACTGGGATAGTTTCGAAAGAAATAATAAATTGCCTCCGAAGGAAGAAAATGCGTTGTGCAAAATATTGATTAGAACTAGGATTGTTTGCAATACCGCTGGTTCTGCGAAGGCCATTCTCTTAATCTTCGAGAAATTCTTGGATGAACCTCCCTCCACGCAATAAGATGCCAAGGTAAAGGGGGCTCCAACAAAACCAAGCACAGCAGCTTCATTCTTAACCTGAGAAGAAAACAGTGGAATCCCCCTGTTAAAATGATTGTTACTGCTAAAACAACAGCAGAGACAAGCACGCATAGCCTCACACTCTTTAAGGAACATATTCTATTAGTTTAAACAGTCAATAAATATTGAAACTGTTCCAATTATAATAATTACCATGATAGTTACAGCTCCAAAATTGTGTCGTTAATAAATAATCTAACTGAATTATAATGAAAATGTTATTTAAAAAACCATTGCGATATCGAGCACTTGTCATGACAAATAACATTCTTACCCATTACTGGATGTGTGATTGTGCAATTGTACAGATTCAGAAAGTAATGGTACTCCCTCCGTTTTTGTATACAAGGCCACTTTGTTTTTCGTGTCAAACTTTGACTTATAATTTTGGTAAAAACAAAATATGGGTTATATGTCATAAAAAATATATCAGAAAATTCTTTGAAATGTGCATCCATTCATCCAATGACATACTTTTTATGGCATATAACTCACATTTTGTTGGTAAAATTAATGGTCAAAGTTAGACATATAAATATTAAGTGGCCTTGTATAAAAAAAACGGGGGGAGTATAAAAATACAGAAGAAGCCTATTGCCATGGAGAAGATGACACTCTATAGCCTAAAGACTCTCGGTAGGCAAGTCTCCGAAAGTACAGAATGTACCTAAAGTATCTAAAAGTTGTTTACGGATTGAGGCTGACCAAGTAGAGGTACAATGGGTAACTTAATTATCAGATAATGTTATAGCGTCTAAAATGTGGAGTTGCAATGAAGCCATGAAACCCGTGCAAAAGCATGCACGTGAGCTTCTCAGATTCAGTGATTACACTATCATGATTCAACTTATCTACAATATTGTCATGACTCTGAAAAGCTCCAAGTAATGCAACATTGAGAAGTTGATACAGCTAGTTAGCAACTTGATAATTGATCTATTAGAATGTCACACTTTGAAGAAGGAAGGTGTAGACGGACCATAAAAGTGTAAAATTACATGTTGCTGTCCGAGTATCCGAGAATGCATTTGAAAGAAACACCTATTTCAAATTCCCATGCCTGACCTCTGAAGAGTATACTAACCTCTCCTCGCAGCAAATTTAAAGCCTGTCCTACATAAGGGACCCACTCCTCTGGAACGAATTCCCTGACTTCGTTCACAGCCGCTGCTGTTCTTAAGGGATCATATATCACTGGACCTTTTCCTTTCACAATGTCAAAAGGTATATTCATCCCAGGAAGTGGAGTAAGGATATCTGAGAACAAGATAACCTAGGAAAGGCAAATGACAAAAAACAAACAAGAAACTGCGTCAATAATTGAACATCAGATACTGGCAACATCTCGAGTCATGTAAGCCTTTGAGACTTGCAAAAGAGAAATTTGAAAAAACATACAGAAAGGGCCAAAGTCCACGGCTTACTCCATCAGGCTTGAAAACCTTCCATGGCTGCAGAGAGATCTCAACAACAAGGTCAACATTTTCTGATCTTTCACGGAACAAAGGATATTTCTCGCAGAGATTTTGATAGCTCTGTTACAAAAATCAAAATGCCAACATGTTAAGGAAAGAAGGGCTCTCTTTTCTTGGTACAGAAGAAAAACAGCCCAACGAAAAGAGTCATTATTCAAACAAGAAACAGCCTAGCTCACTGTCTCTCTAGTGGTAACAACCATGCGGTCCAACAAAATACATTCTGCTGTCCAACAACTTGCTCTGTCTTTTATGAACAGAACTGTAAATAAAATCGTTCTGGTGGATTTGAAAATAGGATACACCAGGAATGGTCACTAGTTCTACATTGTGCAGATAGTTATGCCAGCCTATGGTTACCTTACCTAGTCCAGATCTCTCACGCCCTATTATACTAGGAGCATTTAGTAATCTAGTTTACAACCATGTCTTATCTTGCTATAGTTCTATGAATTTCTCAGGCTCAATTTTAACTGAAACCATAATAACTTCAAGTAACTTAAATTCGCTCTGTCCAGTTGCATCTTATTGACTCTCTTTCTCTAACTGATCTCGACTTTTATTTCTCTAATATAATTGCAGGCCTGAGTGCTAATTGGGAAATGCTTGTGAAGAGAATAAGTGGTGTTTCAGATCATGTTGTTATTCAGAGTGAACCTGCCTTCATGTACCTCCCGGCCTGCCTCATGAGCCAGACAGGCGGCCTCTCCACCTTCTTCCCCTTGATTGCGCTCACCAGCAGCGGTTCCTCCGCCGTCCCGGCCACAGCCGCCTCCGCGACAGCCTCTGAAACACCCCCAGTCAAAATAAACCCTACACGCTTACATCTCCCATAAAAATCTTGTGCCAAACCGCCGAATTGGTGAGCAGAGGAGGGGGCAGCTAACCTCCGACGGCGCTGCAGCGGACGGAGGGGAGCGGCTGGCGGGCGGGGCCGGCGCGGGTTGTCTTGCGGAGGAGGGAAGTGGACGGCAGCGAGAGGGGCGGGCAGGCGGTCGCCATTGGGGCTGGTGGGGCGAGCCGCGGAGTGGGAAGGCGACGACCTCGGCTCCGGGGGGAGTCGAAGCAGATGGGGGTGGGATGAGAAATCGGGATTTGGGATGAGATGTCTGCTTACGCGGATAATAGTGTGGGCGAGCCGCTGCGATTGGTGTCTCGGATCTCCAGATGGACCACTCCAGTCCACTCGCTGCTACTATTTTTGTGTCGGCTAAATTTCGTGTTTTGTGCCTTTTCTGAAACCTATTTGAAATTTGACCCTAGTTTAATTTTTTTTTAAGATCTGATCCTTTTACTACCGCCACGGACCATGACGGTAGGGTATAATAGCCTACTGCTAAGGTCCCTGGCGGTAGGGTTGCATGCCCTACTGCCAAAAACCTCTTAAGTATTGAACACAGTGTGTGCTCATGCCTACCGACAAGCACCTTGGCGATAGGGTTGTGTAGTCTATCGCCAGCCCGGTTGGCGGTAGCTATGTTTCCTACCGTCAAAGTCCCTGGCGGTAGCAAAAGGTCAGATCTCGAAAAAAATTTAAACTAGGGTCAAATCTCGAATAGGTTTCAGAAAAAGATCAAAACACGAAAATGTGCCTCGTCCCACCTCGGGCCAAACAGCCCGCGTGTTGTTTAAAAAAAATAAAAAAATATGTATCTTCATACCGTGGAATGGTGGATGAGCATACCTGAATCTTTATGATATAAATAAGGCACGTATTACCGTGCAGCTACCTCAACATAGCATCAGATTGTCAAGAGGTGATCAAAGGCATCCGGGAGGGTGTCGGTGAATCGCATGAAGGAATTATTAGGAAGATTCACCGGAAGAAATTTTCTTTTGCTTCTTGTAATTTCGTTCATGAGTTTTGAGCTAACAATTATGAAGCCCATAAAATAGCTAGGCAAGGTACTCTTCTTCCAGCAGGAAGATATACCCCACGACGTCCTGGTAATTCCCATGAATATTGTGACTGATTAATAAAGCCTGGCTATTTTTACTCCAAGAAAAATGTACTACCGTGCAAAAAAAGTACTAAAATTTTGAACCAAAATTTATATCTGTTTCACAAAATAATCATAATTTCCTAATCCTATTGCCCAAACAATCTCAAGTTTCCCAAGTTAGGGTCTCTTTGATTCGTAGTATTTTGAAAACGTAGGAATAGAAAAAGTATAGGGTTGGAATGGCATGCCCACTTGAATCCTATAGGATTAACAATGAGTGTTTGATGGCACGGAAAAAACAAAGGAATCGTAAAAAGAGGTTGGGGTGGATGTTAGATTTTCTATGAAATGTAATACAAAAGATTCCATAGGATAAATTCATATGGAATTCAATCCTATGAATCAAATGACCAACATAGAAAAATAAATCCCAAGGATTTCAATTCTTCAGAAATCCTATAAAATTCCATTGAATCAAAGGAGCCCTTAGTATTGGAAACGTGAAGTATTTACCGAAATCTTTCAAGATGTTTCTAAAATAAACAAAATTTAAACCAAAATTTAGACTACTCCCACAAAATTGCCATTAACTTCTAATTATGTTGTCCAAATAAGCTCAAACTTTTCTAGATTACTACAGAGTGGTCATGGGCATTCAGTTAGTACTGTTTGGTAAAATATGGTTTTGATAATTTTAATTCATACTGTATGAAATAAATCTACAGTTCGGTTTCGGTAAGGTCCAACTATTTTGGTATGGTTTCCATAAATACCATACTAACCAAAGTTTACGTGAATTTAAGAATAACAACACGACTAGACATGACAAAATTAGGAAATTGACATCAAAAAACAAGTTGCGGGGCAACATCATGTAGATCACATCTAATGAATTGTACCTAATACTACACCAGCCTACAAGTAGAACCTTAATGTAAGTTTTATCATGTTTGACATGGTTTGTACGTCTGTTGAACTTTTATAATAAGTCATGATCCTTTTCGCAAAGAAAAAATTAGCAGTCAATCACTAATCACTGAATTAGGTACTGCAGTACTCGTTCATACATACAAAAGGGGCTAAACCACTCATGTACTAGTAATTTTATTACTCATGGGTAGGGTATCAATAGGCTTTTATGAGTCATGTGTGTTTCTCGTGCAACACAGAGAGACAGACCCATATTGGAAGGATCATTCTGGGCTATTTGGTTAGGCTGGCTACCGGCATTGTGTGAGAAGTGTGGTGAGGGAGTCCTGGATTAGGGGTCCTCGGACAGTCAGACTATATCCTTCGGCCGGACTGTTGGATTATGAAGATACAAGATTAAAGACTTCGTCCCGTGTTCGGGTGGGACTCTCCTTTGCGTGGAAGGCAAGCTTGGTAATTCGGATATGTAGATCTCCTCCCTTGTAACTGACTCGAGGTAACCCTAGCCCCCTCCGGTGTCTATATAAACCGGAGGGTTTAGTCCGTAGAAAAACAACAATCATAATCATAGGCTAGCTTCTAGGGTTTAGCCTCTATGATCTCGTGGTAGATCAACTCTTGTAATACTCATATCATCAAGATCAATCAAGCAGGAAGTAGGGTATTACCTTCATCGAGAGGGCCCGAACCTGGGTAAACATTGGTGCTTTCATTGAGAGTTCCACCGTGTCGTCACCATAAGGTTTGATGGCTCCTTCGATCATCGACAACGATGCGATCCAGGGTGAGGTTTTTCTCCCCGGACAGATCTTTGTATTCGGCGGCTTCATACTGCGGGCCAACTCGCTTGGCCGTCTGGAACAGATCAAGAGCTACGCCCCTGGCCATCAGGTCAGGTTTGGAAGCTTGAACTATACTACCGACATCCGCGGAGACTTGATCTTTGATGGATTCGAGCCCATGTCAGGTGTGCCGCACAGTCACGACGAGCATGACTTAGCTCTGCCGCCGGACGGTGTTCGAGAGATCACACCCGTGGCAACTCCGGCCCTCAATCCGGAGCAGATCGTGCCGTCCAAGGACGGGTGGATGGACCCCGCCACGGAGGCCGCACACCTAGCGGCGATAGAGCCGAATACTGACTTCACCTCCTATGAGACCCGTGTTGCCGGACCCTTGGATTCGTCCTCGGCCACAGGCTCCGAACCACCTGCATTCGTGCCTATCGAATCTGATTGGGCACCGATCATGAAGTTTACCTCCGCGGATATCTTTTAGCACTCGCCCTTGGGCGACGTGCTAAATTCATTGAGGTCTCTCTCCTTGTCAGGAGACCCTTGGCCGAACTATGTCCGGCTTGAGTGGGAAGCGGGCGATGAAGAAATTCATTCCCTACCCACCACCCACTTAATAGCCATTGTCGACGACTTAACCGCCATGCTTGATTTCGGCTCCGAAGACATCGACGGTATGGACGACGATGCAGGAGAAGAACAGGAAGCACCGCCCACAGGGCGCTGGACAGCCACCTCATCATATGATATATACATGGTGGACACCCCCAAAGAAAGCGATGGCAATAAGGCAACAGAGGATAATCCCCTCGAGAAGCAACCTAAGCAACGGCGTCATCAGTGCCGCTCTAAGCCCTGCCATAGCAAAAGCAGCGATACCGGCACAAGAGACAATAACGTTGCGGACAGTGCCGAAGACGAAGACAATCCCCTCCAGCCAGACTTCGAGCGGGAGAATGGGCAAGCTAGCCCTAAGGAACAGGCGGCAGGTGGAGAATCAGAGGATGTCAAAGCAGGACATACAAGATTGATCTACGGATCACGGGGGCGCGCCCCAATGCGTTACGACGACCGTCACGCCGGATATACTAAAAGCAAATCTGGCCGGGCCGAATATAGCAGACAAGACTCGTATGAACTGCGTCGTGATATAGCCCGGCACAGAGGCGCCGCACACCCCCTATGCTTCACTAATGAAGTAATGGATCACGAATTCCCAGAAGGTTTTAAACCCGTGAATACTGAATCATGTGATGGCACAATAGACCCCGCGGTATGGATCAAAGATTTCCTCCTTCACATCCACATGGCCCGCGGTGATGATCTACATGCCATCAAGTACCTCCCATTAAAACTCAAAGGACCTGCTCGGCATTGGCTCAATAGCCTGCCAGCAAACTCCATTGCCAGTTGGGAGAATTTGGAGGACGCATTCCTTGACAACTTCTGGGGCACTTATGTGCGACCACCAGATGCCGATGACTTGATTCACATAACCCAACAGCCAGGGGAATCAGCCAGGAAATTCTGGACTCGGTTCGTAACTAAAAAGAACCAAATCGTTGACTTTCCGGATGCCGAGGCCTTAGCGGCATTTAAGCATAACATCCGTGACGAGTGGCTCGCCCGACACCTCGGCCAAGAAAAGCCAAAGTCCATGGCAGCCCTCACGACACTCATGACCCGCTTTTGTGCAGGCAAGGATAGCTGGCTGGCCCGCAGCAACAACACATCAAGAAACCCTGGCAATTCAGATGCCAAAGATAGCAACGGCAGGCCACGTCGCAACAGACACAAACGCCGTAACAATGGTGACAACGCCGAAGACACGACAGTTAATGCCGGATTCAGTGGCTCTAAATCTGGTCAGCGGAAAAAGCCGTTCAAAAGAAGCAATCCGGGCCCGTCCAACTTGGACCGCATACTCGATCGTTCGTGTCAAATTCACGGCACCCTCGATAAACCAGCCAACCACACCAACAGAGAATGCTGGGTGTTCAAACAGGCCGGCAAGTTGAATGCCGAAAACAAGGAAAATGGGCTGCATAGCAACGACGAGGAGGACCCCCGGCCGCCGAACATAGGAGGACAGAAGAACCCCCCCCCCAAGTGAAAACGGTAAACATGATATACACAACCCATATTCCCAAGCAGGAATGGAAGCATGCACCGAGGGATGTATATGCGATGGAGCCAGTCACCCCAAAGTTCAACCCATGGTCTTCTTGTTCGATCACCTTCGATCGCCGGGACCACCCCACCAGTATCCGTAATGGCGGTTCTGCCGCATTGGTCCTTGACCCCATCATTGACGGATTTCACCTCACTCGAGTCC